GTGAGGGGGTCGAGCGACCTTAAGCTGATCATAATCGTAATTTTCCCCATGTATTTGTGATACAGAGTACGTAAAAAAAGTATAAAAATGTCTATCTATATCTATTTATTTCGTGTACAGTTTATGAAAACAAAGTCTTATGCTTTTGTCTTTGTTTTTGTATGAGCGAACACGTGTTTCTCTCAGGAAATATTAAAACTATGTACATTCAAAATATTTTTGCTTAAATATCGCTCAAAATCACCTAAGTGCCTTCACGATCAATGTAAACAATTTGCAATAATTTTTTTTGTGTGTACTAGGAAAGAGTGATAATCCAGAGAGCCCAGACTATAAACCAACGATGAACATGGGATATTGTAAAGGTTCAGAAACTGCCAGCAGAAGATTTTCTAGAATTTCTCAGCGAAATTATAAAAAGTCAMTTGAAGATTTCTTTGCTGAACGATCAAGATCGACAGAAGCCAGCAAACGACGGTATGATGATGATGTGACACGTACAGATACAGAAATGGCAGCAGGCGCTTTATTGGATTTGTCAGAAAATAAAGAGAACAACAAAGGTAGGAAAATGATATCTTAGCTTATATTGTTAAAATACATTTTTTTCCATACAATTTCTTTGTACAAAAAGCTGCAATAACTTTTATATATTTAAAGTTGTTTATATTAAAATTCAGTAATAATAATATATAGTATATTTTTATTTACATATATTATATTTCTTTTTTTCCAGATCGATTTATACATGATATCTGCTTGTAAAGATTAGCAGAGTTAAATATGGAAAAGAAGGAAATTTTAAGGGAAGTTGGCACCGCACTTCTTCAAGAACAGATACACTCCTCGACTATAAACAACACACCAAAAATGAGGGCCTCAACACTCGTGAATCTCTCCACGAATCCAAATGAATCTACTCTTTTCTATACTGGCCTACCATCTCATGATTGCTTTCTCTGGTTAAGTAGTTTCCTTGCAGATTCCTTCCCGTCATCAAATATTCTTGTTTCAGCTGATGTTCTTCTTTTGGTTCTAATGAAACTTAGGCTAAATGCACCTCATAGGGATTTATCCTACCGCTTTGACTTTTCTCCATCTCTAGTAAGAACAGTGCTTTTATACAGTGCTATTAGACAGTGCTCTTCCTGTGTTTGCAAAGCAAATCCGTTTCTTCATTCACTGGCCCTCGAGAGAGAGAGGAAGCAAGACGATCTCAGCCGCAGTGTATCAAAGATACCTACCCTAGCTGCATTTCTATAGTTGACTGCACTGAAGTTTTTTATAGAATGTTTTTTGTCTTTATCAGTGATTTTTCTCATTTCTTGAGACCAAACATTGTATTGACCCCCTGTGAATGAGTGTGGCTGTGCCCCTATAAGGAGTTTGTTATCACTAATCTAAATCAAGCCACCAAGCAAGATACTTAACCTGCTGTATAAACCAACAGTAACAGTAACTCTTAGGGGGGTGTTTAATAAAAACCATTTTTTCTTGGTCGCAGCACAACCCATACAACCAGTGCAAGAACAGCATCGTAAACTACTACATCGGTCCCTTCAGATATAACGGTATGTTAAAATAATTCATTTACACACAATTCAAAGCACAATTGAAAGGAATCGATCAACCAAGCTTAGACAATTTAATTGATAATCACAACAAAACTTTTTTTTTTAGATCCATATGCATGGAAAGATTCTTGAGCAGCTGAAGACTCTCAAAGATTTGAAGGAATTTGAAGTCCTCACTAATGGAGAATTTTCGACTGAAAAAGAAAAATTGACGAAAGAAAATATAAGCTCTGCAGCAAATACTTCAACGGGAAGGGAAACGTAGAGTTAAATGTCTCAAATTAGAGTTAAATGTGTGCAACATAAATAGTACTCAATAGTGCTAAATTATGTTAATTCTATTGTTCTCTATTATATTAATTAAGTGATGAAAAAAAATTACTAGGATGCTGTTAAATCGCTCACGTATTCTCACAATGGCGTAGAAATTTATTTTTGCATAGTCTAAACAAATAACCACAATCATCGTACCATAAGTATATGTAAATATTTTAAAATATGGAAATGGAAATAAAGATTATTGTTATTGTTATAAGAATGAACAATCGTTATGTTTGTATTTTTTTATGTTTGTAAGATYCGTGTATCTATTCACGGTCAGCGGTATACCACTGTATGCATATCATTATAAGTTTTCATTCTGGGCATCGTTCAGATTGTGATGGAGAATTTACCACGAGGTATGTATAGAGAATTAGCGTTTAATTTCGTTATGTTTGTAGCGAATGTATTGTAAAAAGATTGTAAATGTTTCAGAACCGTAGATGAGCTGTTATTGAAGTGTATATGAATCGCAGATGAATGCAGAGAAGTATTATTGTAAACGTTCCGGAGTATTACAAGTAAACAACCAAGTTTGAGTCCATCACGAGTGTCCGTGTTTCTGGCACAAAGCAGTACGATGCCACAGTATTTGCTAATAAGAATTTCCCGAAGAGGCAGAACAAAGATTTCTCCAATAAGCTTAAAATGTAAAATAGGACTAAATCTAATGTATAGTGCCTATGAGTTGCCCGCCAAACAGATTACAGCAATAATTTGTTTGTTTATGTATTTACTTATTTATTATTTTTATCATTATAATACTGAACACATTAATCGTTATCATTTTAAAAGCTGTTGAGGTTAATCTAAACAAACGCATTATTTAATTACTCTACTCACCCATTATTGCTACAGAACGAGGATTTGTTCAATTAAAAGGAAGCAGATGGAAGGTTTTGCAGGAGTTGGAAGATTTTGCACGAAGTCAAGAAACGTCTGATGATTAGTTGTTCCGCGATGCACCGCAAGATCAAGAAGACCTCCAGTTCAAACAATGGGAATCACAGTTAACCGTGGGGACCAATTACATCGATTTCTTTTAACCTCTGTGAGACAGCCTATGAAACTATAACCCTCGTATCTTGATATCTGTCAGTCCTGTGAATACAGTAAGCGACGTTACAAAGTAAGAGTTAGTTACCGAGAACGGAGGTAATAAGCGATATACATCCCGAGGGCCGCAGGCCCGAGGGATGTATATGGCTTATTGCCGACGTTCGAGGTAACTAACTATTTTAGTCATCAATTAAGAAGGTTTTCTATAATATTCTGTTAGACTTTTAAGATAATGAAAATAAAAAGAATTTTTAAAAATATTCGTGGTTCAGTTGGAAKTTTAGAATGTATACAAAAGGGTAAACATTTTCCGCTTTGTTTTTATATTTCCCTTGTTGTCTATAGAGCATGAACAATGTGAGTTGATTATAAAGGAATTTACTAATGCCCTCTAGTCCCTACAGAGGTAATGTGGCACATAGTTTTAATGTTCTGGAAATCTATGATGCTAATTAAACAAAAGTGCAGATGATAATAGAAAACCATAGATTTTAGGGTTTCGTAATCACATGTGGCTGTATGGCAATGGAGTTGGAGAGTAGTGACGAAGAGGCAGTTTTTATAACGCCGAATACCATTTCTCAGCATTCAAGCTCAATTTTCAATTTGCAGTTGCATGATTTTTTGTTTGATAATGCAAATTGTTTGGAAGTAGAAGCCAACATCGGAGAGAAAAATAATGAGTTAGAGATACAAGAACCGAAGCGGGACATTGCCGTTGTTTCCGATGTTGATCTACATCGCAGAGTTGAAGCCACAATACCACATGGAACCAAATGTGCTACAGCTTGGTGTGTTCAGACCTGGAAGGAATGGGCAGAAGAGCGCTCAAAATTATGTTCCACTTCGGTCTCGGATAAATACCAAGTAGTCGACCTCGACATACTACAGTTGAGCAAAGAAGAACTCGATTACTGGCTAGCGAAGTTTGTATTGGAGGTACGCAAAAAGAAAACTCCAGGTGAATGCTATCCACCAAATACTTTGTATCAAATTTGCTGTGGAATTCAAAGATTTTTGAAAGAAAACGGGAAGCAAGAATTCAAGTTATTTACAGACACTTCGTTCAAGCTCTTCCAAGATGCTTTAGATTCCGAGATGAAACGCTTAACATCAAAGGGTGTGGGAGTCCAAATAAAGCAAGCTGAGGCGTTTAGTGAGGAGCAAGAAGAAAAACTTTGGAGCAGTCATGTTTTGGGTTCACATTCGCCAAAAGTGTTATTAGACACTATGGTGTTCCTCATCGGGAAGAATTTCTCCTTGCGTAGTGGTAAAGAGCATCGTAGCCTTTCATTTTCACAGCTTAGCTTAGTACCACCAAAGAATGGGGAACCCGAAAAGTTGGTGTACACCTCGTATGGAGAAAAAAACAACGCTGGAGGTTTGAAACATCGTTCATTCAAAGGAAAACGAGTTGAACATTATGCAAACGAAGAGCGACCTGAAAGATGCCTGGTGAA